TATATATATATCTCTTTTTATTCATATTATATTTTTATTTGTATTTTTTTTTTTGCATGGCATATTGGTGCCATGCTGGTATTTCTAATACAACAAGCAATAGAATTTGATGGAAAAGTATATTGATGGATCGGCTGATAAATGCTAGATAAAGAAATAAAGAAAACGTACAGCATTTATACCGGAGAACTGCTGGGAGAGCTGCAGCATGATGGCAATGAAGATGGGCTGGCGGTAGAGCGATGAGCGGAAGAGCTCAGGGATGGTGACCTTCTTCTCCCTCATCATCTGCCTGCTCTCGTCCCTCATCTCCTGCATGTCTGCAGCCACATCTTCAGTGCCACGGAGCTTCTTCAGCACTGTGGAAATTAGTTAGTTAGGCTGACTGGAGAAACCCTAGGCAACATCTTAAATTGAGTATTAAAAACTCACCACTCTTAGCTTTGGCCTCCTCGTTCTGGTTGATGAGAAGGTAGCGCGGGCTCTCGGGGCAGAAGGGCAGCAGGGCACACTGGACTATGGCTGGGATGAAAGTAAAGCCAAGTAGGAAGGGCCACATTGTAGGGGTCCCCATGATTTCTTTAATACCAAAGATCTACAGAACAAAGCAGGAGTTTTTAATGGTTACCCAGCTGGAGTTTTTCTAATGAAATACACAAAAAACACAAAGGTCACATCTATCTATGCAATGTAAAAGTCTTAATGATTACTAAAAGTGGTCTCATAATAAAGATAACATATTAATTGACCTGTGCTATGAGGATGCCAATGACAATGCCAAGCTGATGAAGTGTGCCCAGTGCCCCACGTAATGAAGTTGGGGCGATTTCTCCTACATACATTGGTACAAAGCCTGTGGACAGGCCAGAGTAAAGGCCTACAATGAAGCGTCCGATAATAAGCATCTCCCAGGATTCAGCCAGCTTGGAAAAGCCCATTAAAGCAGCAGCGATGAAGGCCAGAACATTAACAATGAGCATTGAGTTCCTCCTGTTAAAAGATCCGAAAGAGAATGGGTAACACTTTACAATAAGGTTCATTAGTTAACATTAGTTAACTACTTTAGTTAACATGAACTAAGCATGAACAATACTTCTACAGAATTTATTAATCTTAGTTAATGTTAATTTCAACATTTACTACTGCATTATTAAAATCAAAAGTTGTGCTTGTTAACATTAGTTAATGCGCTGTGAATTAACATGAACTAACTATGAACAACTGTATTTTCATTAACTAACATTAACTAATGGAACCTTATTGTAAAATGTTACCAGAGAATGTTTAAAGACACATGAATTCAGGATAAAAATTGAGTATCTGTAAAGTTCTGAATTGGTTGGTTAAGTTACCTGCCAAAGCGGTTTAGAAAGAGCCCAACTGAGAAGGAGCCGAAAATGCCACCGACAGAAAATATGGCCACTGATACGGACCAGAGTGTAGTTAGAGTGGTCGACGGTATGTACTCTGAGTACCTCTTATACCACGTCTCATTGTAGAAAGCCTCGATGGTCTATGAGAGAAAAGAACATACTCTATGAAAATCATTAGGGAGGGTGTTTATTTGATATTTCATTTCAATTCAAAATTTTCTTTTAAAAAATAATCATTAACACACTATTATTAAATAAATTGTGATTTAATTATATTGTCCAGTAAGTCAACAGTCATTTGCTGCAGCAGTTCTACATTACGTCAGCAGAGGGAGCAGTACTCCATGCTGACTACAGTGTCAAAACAGATTGCATAAGAAGCTGCTTAATTAAGCTTGATACAAAACTGCAAACATAGGTGTATTATCTAGATTAGGCCTCGGTTTATTGTTGTGATTCAACAGTTTCTTCCTCAATAAATACGAAACAAGAAAGAAATAACATTAAAAGAATATTCAAAACTCTTCACTCATAAACAGATCCTGCATGCTATTACACTGAACATGTGAACTACCATTCAAAAGTTTGGGGTCAGATTTATATATATATAAAAAAAAAATGAAATAAATGTTATTTAGCAAGGATGCATTAAACTGGTCAAAAGTGACAATAAAGATTTCTTTCAAAAACAATTTAAAAAATCCCAAACATTTGAAATGTATATAAAAAATGCTCACCAACAATTTACTAATAATCTTAATATCACAGTATTATTTCACAGTAATGATGTCCTTATGCGTCCTTGACTTTTGACTTTCTCTCTTTATAAAAGACTATCGCTAAACTATGGCACATGATTTGCACTCTATATATAGAGTTCTCTCAAGCATATGTGAGATTTTTCCAGAACCCTTAGCTGATGTGATGTATTAAGAGGTCAAGGTAATTTATTCATTCATCATTCATTGTGAAAAAACATATTTGTTGCAAACTACAGGCAAGTCTAATACCTTTTTTGTTACTTGATGCACATAAGAGTAGCCTTGAAATAGAAATCTATTTGTCAAACGTTGTACTTGCCCGTTTATGGACAGTAGGAAAGGCTGTTATAAGAATCTCTTCTGAAGAGTTTCAGAAGTGCTGGTCTATTATTAGAATGCTCTGCATGTGTGAATCAGCATATCTTAAAAGGCGACGCAAGAAGGAGGATTAATACAGAATAGTTTACACAGCTAATCTAAAATTAGATGCATTACACAATAACACTAACATACAAACATCAACAATACCCATATATCAATTTGTCAATTAGCAATATGCTGATGCTTAAGTGCTTATATGACAAATCATGTCATGTCTGTTATATGTCTAAAATTGTTCACCTTCTGAGGGGCATTGATGACTCCTGTGTTGTAGCCAAACTGCAAGGAGCCGATCACAGCAGTCCCAACAGCCATCATCAGCTGAAGCGTCAACTGCTGTAAGGGTAGAAGAACAACATAATTATATATTTTAATATTTTTAAAATATATTTTAATATTTTAATATGGTTCATTATTAACCATTTAGTCCTGATTTTTAAGGAACAATATAGAGAATATTGATGTTTATAGCAAAATCTGAAATGCGGGAGCATTTTGCTGATAATGACTGTATGAATTTAATAATATGACATGTGGAATATTACTAAAATATAGAAATCCCATTTCAGCCACGGAATGAAAAGAATTAAAAAGGTATAAATATAATAGATGTAAACTTGCTATTCTGAGAAGAAAAGTCTGAACTGTGAGCTATAAACTCACAAAATTATGTGGCAGAAACAAAATAACTGAAATACTGAATTTTGAGACGTAAACTCAGAAATCAGAGGGGGAAAAAAAAATCTGAATTGGGAAATGTAAACTCAGAATTCTGAGAAAAAAAGACAGAATTGTGAGATGTAAAATTGGAATTAAAAAAAAAAAGTCATTGTTGGATATAAATTTAAAATTGAAATATGTATTCAGAATTGTGAGAGAAAAAGTCAGAACTTGGAGTTTATATATTGCAATTCTGAGAAAAATGTCAGAATTACAAGAAAAAATTTAGAATTGTGAGATTAACCTTTCTTTTTCTTTCTTTATCCCATGGTGGAAACATGCTTACATACAAATAGATTTTGTAAGCTTGATTATTTATTTATACATTTACATTACATTTACATTTAGTCATTTAGCAGACGCTTGTATCCAAAGCGACTTAATAAAAAAAGAAGATAAGTAGATAAAGTAGAATTAAAATAGAGAGTGCTAGAGTTAGAGAGTCAGATAAAGATGGAACAGATGTGTTTTTAGTCGTTTCTTAAAGATGGCTAAGGACTCAGCTGCTCGGATTGAGTTGGGCAGGTCATTCCACCAGGAGGGAACAGTTAATGTAAAAGTCCGTGAAAGGGATTTTGTGCCTCTGAGATGCCACAATAATGCGTTGTTCACTTGCAGAACGCAAGCTTCTAGAGGGCACATAACTCTGAAGTAATGAATTTAGGTAAATGGGTGCAGAGCCAGTGGTGGTTTTGTAGGCAAACATTAATGCCTTGAATTTAATGCGAGTAGCTACTGGTAGCCAGTGCAAATTGATGAACAGAGGTGTGACATGCGTTCTTTTCGGCTCATTAAAGATTAATATTGCAGCGGCATTTTGGATTAATTGTAGAGGTTTGATAGAAATGGCTGGAAGACCTGCCAAGAGAGCATTGCAATAGTCCAGCCTGGATAGAACAAGAGCTTGAACAAGGAGTTGTGTTGCATGTTCTGAAAGAAAGGGCCTGATCTTCCTAATGTTGTATAAAGCAAATCTGCAGGACCGGGTAGTTTTAGCAATGTGTTCTGAGAAATTCAGCTCATCATCAATCACAACTCCAAGGTTTCTAGCTGTTTTTGAAGGAGTTATGAGCCTAACTGGATGGTGAAATTTTGATAAAGTGATGGGTTTTATACATGCAAGGGAGTTAAAAAGGTGTGTACTAAATGTGCAGTTTCACTCTGCATAATAACAATATTATGCATAATACAATAGTCAGTTCTATATGGTCTTTGCATTCCTTTTACAGCTTTGCTAAAGCCAAAAAAGACATGAAATAGCTTAAACTGTTCAAATTATTTTGATTTTTTTTTTCTAACCACTATGTGAACAATGGTTCGGTTTATTACACAGAACTGTGAACCTACTATGCAGGCAACAAGTAAGATGCGGAATGAGGGAAACCCTGTTGATTATCAATATGATCCTATTACAGATCTGGCAGCACCTGAACCAACTCACGCACGTACCACGACTACTCCAGCCTCTTATTCCAATCCACTCCAATCCATTCCAACAACCACAGGCTTTTACATAACAGGCTCAACAGACCTTCAAAGACAACGACTTCATCGTGAGCACTAGCACGTAGGGTCAGATGAACTAAAATACTGCTAACCCCGGCATGTGATTTCATACGCGCTCCTAAGCATTCTTACGCTAAATAACACTTTAGTATATATTTAGAGCTGAGTTTGATCTCGACTGGAGTAAAACTCTACAACTGTGTGTACTAAAAAGGCAAATCCCAAAAAAACTAAATGTTTTGAGAATAGGCCAGAATATTATTCTGGGAATCCTCTACTGTACTTGTCTGTACTTGTCATACACTAGGTAGCAAACACTAGTTAGTCTCAAGCTTAAGAAGGTTACATCAGTAGCCTTTTAATAGTGTTTTAATCTGCCACCCTGCTTACTGCAGAAAACGCTGTGTTTTAATAACAAACATTCCCTGTAATAGAAACTAACTGTTATGGCAGGTTTGCTGTGGGACAATTGCGCCTCCCGGCTGTCATGCTCTGTGCAGCTCTGACTTGACCACAGCACAGTGTGCTTACATGCAACACTTAAACCTTGTTAAATATTATGTAACCACAGGTCAGTACATGCAATTAATTGCAGTTGTAAAAAATGCATGAATAAAAACATAAACTGATGTGCATTTAGCAATGTTCACTGAGTAACATTGGCCTCAAGTCCTTAGTAGCTTAACATTCCTGATGAAATGAACATATCGATTATTAATAAGCAATGCAAGGTCCACTGAGCCACTGAATCAAAGGGGTTTAGACTTCAAAGGGTTTACAGCAGCACTTTTTCTAAATAATCTAAATTTAAGATCACTGCTCTTCTAGTGCACTTAAGCACACGTTATAATAAACCAAATGTCATTGTTCTACAAAACTTAGTTTATTATAATGCATATGCATGTACATTAATCAAGTACAACGCACTGATGGATCCAACAACAACAACAAAAATTATTTTGGATAGTGCTGTCAAACGATTAATCGCGATTAATCTCATCCAAAATAAAAGTTTTGTTTAGTCTACATAATATGTGTATATACTGTGTATATTTATTATGTATATATACATTTATTTTATATATTATAAATATTTATATATTAAATATATATATTTATTATGTATATATACATTCACTCACATACAGCATATATTTTGGAAATATTTACATGCATATACATTCATATATTTATATTCTTATATTAATCGCGATTAATCATTTGACAGCACTAATTTTGGAATATTTTAAATAAGAGAATCAATATGCCATGTAAACTAAATGTTACAAATTAATTTTACAATTTTGAAACAGACTTGTGTCTTAAAGTGTTTCAAAATTGATGTGTCTCAAAATAGGTTTTCTTTCATTCTGTAAATATTAATTATGCAAAGTATTGTGTCTATACTCCCTTTGTGACATTAACTAACCCTGGTTGCAGCTGTCCGGTTCTCCTATTCAGAAGAGGCTGTGATCGCTTTTTTGTTCAGCCACTATCTCTTTCTCACTTTCATCACATTACTTTCCTAACAAACAAGATAAATGAGACTTATGTCGATGACACAAAGGGTTGATGTAATTACTCTGTTTCTCCTCTAAACCCCTGAGTAAGGCTGTGGTCTGAGAGGTCTTATTAGAAGGTTTTACCACATATTTCCATTACTTAAGGATTTAAACCGATGACACGAGACCTTTGTTGCTGGAGACAAAAATAGGCTTGATTGATGGATGGATGGATGGATGGATAGATAGATAGATAAAGTTTCACTATTTGTCTAGATAAAGATGCATACAAACCACAACTCAAACATATAAATGAGAGTTGAAGAGTTTTCAGTTCTGTCAGTCAAAATTTTCATTTTCTTGACCACTGGAGTCACTAATCAAACAAACAACAACTTTTCCCTCCCTAAATGACAGAGTAAGACCAATCTAATTGTGCTTTCTTGGATGTTTTACCTGAAACTCTCTCCCCTCTAGTTATATTCCTCAGGTACTACCGGCAAAATATCACTACACTAGAATTATAAGGCAAGCAATATGACATTACCTTTTTGTTAGAATCCATAGTGGCAGGTTAAAAATGCTTTTTTTTTTTTATTACAGAAGAATTATTTTCTTCTTTTCGTTGTTTTGTAAAATTGCAGTCCTAAAATCCACTTAACAAAAAAGCACGAAAATTATTACAATTTAAAATCTACAATGTATCATCCAATTTGTCATGTTGAAAGAAGCCCTCATGTCTTCTGTTAGTCGATCTTATATCGTCTTTGATTCTGTCAGGTGCATTCAGAGAACTGCCATCAGTAGAGTAAAGCGCTTAATATAAACTCTCTAAAACCGGCTCTGATTGGCTGTTGCTTGGTTACTTCTGTCCGAATGGCGATTTGTACACAGGCATGCTTAGAAATGGACGCCCCGATTGGCTGCACGTATTCAATGGAGTTACGTAAATGCGTCGACTTTTAATCGTTGTAACCTGGACAATCCTGAGAGCGTGTTTCTAGATATCCATATACAATATGCATATATATTTAAAAAATAGTTTTAATTATTAAAGCATACTTAATAATTAATACGCATGCAAATTTTATGTATTTTTTAACTGAGAGACTAAGGAATAAATGGTGTAAAATATTTAAATCTCGATGTTGACAAAAATAAATAATCTTATTTTTATAATTTCTATAATTTCCCTTGAAAAATTTTTATAATGTATAATTCTTTTTTATCATTTCTATTACTCCAACAATGCTGATAAACTATGGCATAACTGACAAATTAATTAATAAGCCTATGAAAAATAAGCCTATGAAAATAACCACTGTTGTCAAAAAATGATGTTGATCTGAAAGATTCTGCTGTCTATAATAAAATGTAATAATAATATAAGTAAATACAGGAACAGGTTTGGTAATCTGGTAGTGCCGGTAGCTTTGTCATTGTTGTTTCATCCTGACACCATATCCCTAGCCTTTATTCTTCACAGTAGGAAAGTGTCCGGTAAAATTGTATGCAAAAGAAAAAAAAAACACTTCTCTTTCCTTGTCTTCATATCATAAAAAAGGATTTTTCCTCAAAAAGAATGGAAAGTTTCTGTTGACGTTGGTTCCTCAGGACTAAATAAATGTTCTTTGATAAGCATTGTAAACAATAACACACAAACGTCGGATCAAAGACAGGGTGGGTTTGGTGGATATCTGTAGGTTGGTATTGTTCAGTAAATCAAAGATATGTCTATGCCATTGCTAATTTATTGCCTTGAATGTCATTTTCTTTTTGAATTTGTAAGCAATTTGTCCAGATTGTAATAGGCCTAAGTGGCAGAAAGTGTTGGTCCACACATGACTGAGCCGGTGAAAGTTCGTGCTACAGGGCACTACACACTTATCTCAAGGCTATTTCTGAATGGGAGACTTATCAATGAAAGCATTATTGTTTGCATGGCTATGATTGCCAGCACCTCTTGCTTGACAACAGTGAAACTGAGCATGATGAAATAAAAGGTCATTCATTCTACATAAATGCGAAGTGCAGTTGTCAAATACTAAAATCTTCAAAATAGCTTAAAGCTGATCATTTACCAAAATAGGACTGCACTTGTGTCATATTAAATGTTGTTTGAATTGAAAAGTAATACACTATCATTTTATAATAAAAAGAACAATGTTGTCATTTAACCTAAAAATGAGTTATGTGGTAACATCTGAATTAACTGGTTTATATAATCATCAACATTTATATCTGAATTAAGTCAAAACAATACTATTATTATGACTAAATCAACCAGACTAGATTACACCAACAAAAGTCATTTTTAGAAGGTCAGGTCAGGTAGAATTAACGTCTTAAGGTAACAATTACAGTTACAATTAGTGTAGTGTTAATGGTTGCCAAGACATTTTGCTGTGAAGGATGAGTTTAAGGACATGACTTCAGACATGACAGGTAATCTTCAGGTCATGTGACCTCTTGAGCTTAAACATGGATGCATCACTCTCTCTGACTAACTTTCGAATGACTGGAAATTCAACTCCGTCTCAGCTTTATAAGTGTTCATTTGCATGATTTTCTCACCTGAGCACAACAATCACAGTAGCGTTGTCTGATCACATGGCTGTTTCATGTTTGAGTGGCTTTATAACACTAGAAAACAACAGGCTACATTGGATTTAAGGGACTTTGTAGTGCTTTTTATGCTATGCTTAACCATGGATAATCTGTTTTTAAACCCTGTGTTCCATACTTGTGATTTTGAAAGTGGGTTAGACTTGCCTGGGTTTTGAAACTTTTGTGTATGGGCTTTCAGGCGCATTTTTGCTTTTTTAGAAACTTTCATGCAATATATTCATTTCAGCATTTGAGGGAATTGTCAAACACTGACAGAATACCTGTTAATTGGAGTGACAATGTAACCAAAGAAACCGTTATGGTCCAAAAAGTCTATTCAGCAACATTGTGATACCATAAATTAATATACTGTATAGCAATGCAAGCTATTATTTAATCAGGTCACATGCTAAATTCATCCAATCAATGATGCTGACACTGCAAATATGCCAATAAGAGCATAAACATTGCAGCTTTTGAAGTGTGAAACCTCAAAACTTAATTTCTAACTAAAAGAAAATAAGTGTGAAACACCGAAAAAGATAACATAGCATTCTGTTAACCCAGGGTTAAGAATGTGTTTATTTTCGTATGGTAAGCTCTTGCAACTCAAGTGTTTATTGAAATACAGATGATATTTCAGTTTCAAAGAGCCCTTTGAAACATTGTGAATCTGACATGGGTAGACACAAGCACAGGTTTTGGGTCAGCCAGTTCACAAAGCTCAAACGAAGACAGCCATTGTCTGAGCAAAGCTTGACCAATCTGATCCAGCGAGCGTCCACATCACCATATCTCTTTGTCCTCATCTCGGTCATTTTCATTATCTGCTGTGACACTGTCATTGAGGCTCATGGCACTGAATGAAAGAGCACCTTCTTGTGGATTAAATGGAAACTTTTACACTAACAATGATGGAACAATGTGACTCAGACTAATGGAGAGGCACATTCCAACTGTATTGGTGAGGAGCCTTGTGTTCCTCCATGAGTAGTGCTGGACCCTCTTTTTCATGCGGTCCAATTAGAGACATGTCCTGCCTGCCCTTAGAAATCTGTCAAACAGATAATGAGCTCTTTACAAAGCATTCATTTGGAGCCCCTGTGCAATTGGCAGAAGTCCCATTTCTGTCACAACTTTGAATATCTATCTTGGTGGCCTGGATCAGCTGCAATGGCCCAGTAGTAAGTCTAAATGAAAGTGCTTCTTGTGTTGGGACTTTAAACTAAAGGATTTGGATTAGGGTCAAAATCATTAATCCTTTTGAATATAGGATTAGAGTAAATATCATATTAGAAGAGTAAAAATGTACTACACCATGCACCAAAAGTGCAGATCTGCCAAACTATATAACTAACTATAACTAGAACACACAGTATGTATATGTCAATATACAAACCCAAGATCAGGGGTTCAGTTCCCAAGGAATGCATGATCAAATGTAACTTGAATGCAGTGTGTCATTCTGAGTAAAATAAACTAGTAAATGGGTTACAAAGTCAAATAATTAAATAATGTAAAAAAAAATTAGCAAGGTTTCAGAAACACGTTTGATGTTTTGGTCACCATTTTTTCATTTTACAAACTAAAAGTCCATTGGGAAGACTGGAAAAGTGATACATAGCCTATCAACCCACAAAAGACATAAAAATATGATTATTTTGATTTGAAGGAGTATAATTGTCTGGCACAACTAGAATGAAAATATACTGTATTTACAGTAAGAGTGTAATTTACATCTTACACTTAGAGTAAATGTATAAATTCAGTTTATAAAATATATCCGATTAAGGGGCAGGTTGCATAAAAGCATTTAAAGACAAATGATGCATTAAAGGAATAAGTGCATAATTAAAACATGTTAAGTAAATGTTCCCCCTACTGTTTTTTTTTCTTTTCTTTTGGGTGGGACTGTTTGATGGAGGAAGTACGCAACAAGGTACAGATTCCGTCTCCCCATCTATTGTTACAGTGAGAGTCTCTCCGGTCTGGCCACTGAGCTTCAGTGTCTTATTCATAAGGAATAATATTTTGTATAAGAACCCTGCTGAGGGGAGGGACTAGAGAACAAAGCGACAACAAAAACTGGAAAAGATGTCATGACTCCCCACGAGCCTGGGGAATAACTGGTGACTGACAAGGCAATGTTGTTCTTCCTCTTGGTAAGCACAAATGCAAAAATAAACCCTGCTGTTCACATTGTAATAGACTAAACAAGTCTTCCTATAACTCAGTCACAAAAAAGACTGATTTTTTTAAAAGACTAAGTAGGTAATGATAGGTGACTGTACTTAGGCCTACTTAACACTGTGTAAGTCTGCCCTCTAGTGAACTGGAATGTGTAACTTGTTGGATTTAGTTATAGATTCAAAGCAGGTCCAAGTTTTATTTTTGCGTGCTGTTTTTAAACGAATATACAATTCCTACACAATTTCAAGGACTAAATACTTTAAATAGATGTAACAGATTATTTAAAGTAATCAAGTATTGTGTCATAATAGCTGATTTCACTTGAGCAGTAATCACATGATTACTTTGAAATGCTCTAAAACAGAACTTCATTTTTTGTGCAGTGATGCAATTTTGACTTATTTATACCGAATCGTTTCATGTGTAACCAAAGCCACTTGAAAAACAAAAAAAACAAAACTGATATGGGTTGTGTTTGAGAGCATTGAGAACATTTTCATTAAATGTGCCTCAAACACACGTATTCAGACTTCATGGCCGTAATTTGGCTTTAAAAACAAACAAACAACCAAAAACATTAAAGGCGAGATTGCACATGGCACAGACTTCTGTACATATAGCTATATAACCAAACTCTTTTAAATACAATGATGTTTGGAAATCTTTCATTATTTTTTTTTAAGTTACGTTTCCTATAAATTATAGCTATAAATTCAACACATTAATTTTAATCGCGATTGTCCATGATGTCACGTTAACTACCCAAAT